ATGTCAATCTAATTTCTATTTATAGAGAAAAAAGATGTTCTAATCCATGTAAAATACTAATTCCAATATCAAATAAGAGTCTTAATTAAAATCCAAGTAAGAGTTTTAATTAAAGTCCAAATCCAATTAGTTTACATTTAATTACAAGTGTAATCCTATAACTTCAATTACAATTATAATTAAGCTTACAACTTTTATAGTAATTACAAGTGAGTATAAAACTTTATTGTAATTACAATTAAGTCCAAAACGATTATAATTACTGTAATTAAGTTCAAATACTTTATAGGTCTACCATAGGGCCTGATCGAACATATATTATCCAAGATCTAATAATTAGATACTGTCTAGTCGACTCTAGACCACCCAATCTAATTATTAATCTTTGCATTTTCCGCTAAAAGCAAAAGACGGAACTCTCGAAATATATAATATCACAAAAGCCAATAAATTTGTAACACTTTCCCTTGACCCGCCGTATATGTATTTTATCCCCATTCGAGATTCCATAATTAGGTACGAGCATAAATGACCGTTTTGTCCCTCTAATTATTTTCACTAACTTAAATACTATTTTTTTCAATGATCATGTGAACAAATCTCAGATGTCAAAATTTAGCCGTCGCTAAACATTGAACTCAGATTTTAACCGTTCAATAGAAAATACTTAAGTACTCACTCTATCTATTTTTAGGGTGATGGTTCCTGACATGAATTCATGTTCTCTACTTCGCTCATTCTCAAGTTCCCTACTCATCGTGATATTTGACAAATCAAATTGACATCACCCATTGATGAATCAAGGAACCATTAAAATCATGAAAAGATATACATAACTCTGTCAAGGGATTTAGATGAAATACACAGCTGTCAAGTGGAATTTAATTCTCCGCATGGTCATGCTATAGAATTAAACTTGACACGTGGTCTGTTCAATACTCTTCAAGTGTACTAGTGTCACCTTTAACTATTTATGTGATAAGAACAAATCACAAACCCGAATAGTGAATCGGACAATACTATAACATTTTGGTACAAGGTGTCAACCCTTATATATTGGTAGTGAACAAATTATTTACGATCGAAATATAAATTGTGTCACATTGTACTTCTCAATGCAAATACCCAACTTATATTATCACAAGTGATCATAGGTACTTTAATTTGCATACTCAATAAATGCAATAAATAAAATAAAAATAACTTTATTTAATATAAGAATATTGTTATTT